AGCCTTTAATCAAGGGGGAGAACAGAACGGCACACAGAGCTTGGATGAGAGGTGGTTTCTTCAGGAGATCCACGTGATCGTGCAAGAGCGGTCGGGTTTCTGAAGATTGCATTAAGACGGAGGAGTCCATCATTTCGGAAGATGGAGGAAGTGATTCACAGAGTGACGCTGTGCCCTCAACAGGATTACATTCTGTGCTTTAACATTTGGCCAGGGCGCTACTTAACTTTTTGGAAAGGGCCATGCATTTAAAAGCAAGTTAGCCTCCTTCTTCAATAATCCAAATTAGTTTAACACACTTCAGTGACATTATTTGGGCATTTTTCACAATTATTAAAGATAACCGACTTTTCTCTGTAGACTGTAGGTCAAAAGCAAATTAAATCAATGGATTTTCTTCCTTCGCTTTCTCGGATGAGTCAGAAAGCATTGGTCGAACGCGCACACGGCCTTTCCGCTAAGCTTCAGAACCCACACAACCTGCTGAGAAGACATTTGGCCAATCTGATTATTTTCTCTATACTAATTGGTTTTCCTTCTTCATTGAATTGAATGAATTGCCTCGTTGTTTTGTCACTGTGGGGACACAGCTTAATCCACTTACGGTGGGGCGCTTATGCTTTGGTAAAGTACAGGGCTAGAGAAACGTTTATCATCGTTATTATCCTTCGGTGATTCTTCTTGGGGGAGAATGAAAATCTAGCTTGAATCCATCCATTTTCTCCGCTTCAGTTTCCACTGCTTTGGCTAGCCATCTCTTCTGGCAGCTGGATTACCCCAGCAAGCTCTACCGTCCGCACGGTAGCCATGTTGGTTTCTTCACGGCGAACGTGGAATAACATCTAAACCCCTCCCCGCGGCTGCCTGCACCCCACGAGACCTGAGCCCCGGGTGGCTTCCCCACCCTCATTTTGCCTCCTGCCCCCTGCCCACCACCCTTCCTCCAGGGTGCCCTCCCACTGGTTCCTTAATCCCTTGGGCTTCTTTCCACCTTCATCGGTTCCTTCCTCACCCCACATGGCCTCCGAGGGCTGGTTCTTTCTTGTCCCCAAGGTTTCATTTCGGATGTCGCTTTTTCAGAGAGGCCTTCCTCAGTTATGTGGAACAGTCACCCGCCTACCACTCTCTGTGGTATGCCGCCATTGTCTGCGACTCTCCGTTAAGACCCCCGTTTACTGTGACTCTCTGGAACGTGCTTACCTCCCCTGTTTGCTGCCAGTCACTGTCATAGCCACCTGGTTGTATTTACTGTCTGTGACATCCCCACCCTGTGTTCATTTCTTTCATGACCCCCCGGCACAACTGTGAATTACCAGTTGACTTGTCGTTTCTCTTCCCCGTTGGAGCAGAGGCTGTTGGGGGCCAGGGCGCCTTGGCCTTGCTCTCCGGTGCTTCGGGGTTGAGCAGCGTGGTGCCCGCTTCATCGAATGGGCACAAGACGTATTTGTTGAGCAAACGAATGGAATACCAAAAGCCTGGTTCTGTGTCGATGCACAGGTGCTCACGTGAAAATTGTATTACAGGAAAAATTACTGCTTCCTTTCCCAAGCCGCTGTACTTTTCTATAGATTTTCCAAGTTGATTTGCTCAGGATTAAGGCACTTGATAATCTAGTGACCTACCCCTCGAGATAGAAGAGGTAGGTCTGTACTTTCTAGGCAGGAGCTTGGAGGACTCCCTGCATAGAAGCCAACCTGAGAATTCGGAAGACCCGGAGAATTCCTTTAGGGTTTCCCGCTCGAATGCGGCAAACCAGATGACCCTGCAGGGCGGCCCCAGCTGACAAATTGCACATGTAAAGAGCTCCCAGTCAGTTGTCGAGCGCCTGTTTTCTGAACGTGGACAGATATTAAGGTTGCTGGATACCTCAGGAAAGTCTTTCATGTGAAAGAGAAAGAAGAAAACAAATGAGAACAAAAGGAACTCGGAAGAGAGAGAGAGTCTGTATGGAGAGGCGAACTTCGGCATTAACAGCAGGGACAGCAAGTCGTCATTAATTTTGCCAGTGATACAACGGAAGACCCTGGAGCCCTGAAGTGATAACAGGGCTCTCTACAGAAGGGAGTCATAATGGGCTCTTAGAAATTAAATCTACAGAAGGGAGTCATGATGGGCTCTTAGAAATTAAAAAAACATGATAGAAATAGAAGATTATGAGTTGGAATAGAAAGTTGAAGGAATTCTCCCAAAAGTAAAATAAAAAGACAGCTAGGAAAGAGAGAGAAGAGAAGAGAAAGGAGGGTTAGACAAGGAAACCCAATAACTCACCAAGAACAGTTCTAGAAACAGAGAAAAGATGAAACAGAAGGAGAATAAATATCAAAGAAATAGCAATGCATTTTCCCCAAACCGAAGGACAGGATTCAGAATGAAAGGTCACGCTGAATGCCCAAACAATGAATGAAAATAGAGCCAGTCCCATAGAGACACTGAACAAAGAAGAGTCTAGGAGTTTCCAGAGAGACGAAAAACAAAAAGGTTTTGCCCAAAGGATCATGAATCATAAATCAGGTTGGCTCCAGACTTCTTAACAACTAGAATTCAGTGGAGCCGTGTCTTGGGTTCTGAAAGATAATGAATTCTAATTCAAAATGCTGTATCCAAACAAGTGGCAGATTAAAGTCTAAACAATTTTATTTCACGCACCCTTTCTCCTGAAGATGCAGGGAGGGTTGCATTAGGAAAGCAAGGAAAAAGAAGTGTGGGGCCCCAGGAACCAAGGAGGTGAGGAGAATTGCCACAGTGGCATGAAAGGGGGTCCTGGGGCATAGCCACACATTGGGCCCGGGGAGCAGCAGTCCCCTGTAGGCATTTCAGAGGATTTCCAGAGAGATCTTTCCAGGGAAAGGAAATGAAACCCGTAGACAATTGAGAAGGAGGTAGGAGGAAGGTTTTAGTACTGGGTCTACAGAAAACTAAGCACAATTTAAAAAACAAGGTAATTATTAACTCCAGGGAAAACCATGTTGGCCAGCAAGGCGTTGTCATCACAGTACATGACGTGGCTCGGCAGTGAGAGACATGGTCCCGAGCATGTGAACACCGAATATTCTCCTAAACGAAACTATGACGTCATAGTTATGTAACTGTTGAGACGGGGTGGCAAGTGTGCCTACGCGGCGGGGCATGAAGGTTCTGGACCGAGGGGGTTGGAGGAAGGGATCGACGCTCCTGTCCCCCTGGGAGAAATCACAGACTGTCCTCCAAACTGGAAAAGAGAAATCAAGTAGTGCTATGAAGCATGTTGTTAAAAGCGAGGGAGATAAATATCAGAAGAATGCAAAGTGGGAAAAGGTGAGTGGGTGGGCAAGCGTCGCTATTTTTCTTAGTAAGTTGACAGATTCAACTTTTTGAAACTCTGTGCCTATGTAACTTTAATAAAATGGAAGCAAATTTGAAAGTGAATCGGATGTTTGTCTCTGGTGGCCCAGCCATTCTGGAATTTTTTCTGATCTCATCTCATGTTGTAAGCCATCCTGCCTGTGATTCTGTGGTCCTTTTGACCCGTATCCCAGGCCACCATGGCAGACAGAGGAGAGAGTAAGGGTGAGGCCCTTACAAGGGAGCTGCTGTTTTGCAGATGTTATCAAGGCCCCATCTTTGTGCCCCTTTCCCCACCCAGATCACAGCAATAACCATCTCACAACAACAGCAGCACCAAAACCGACCTTGCTTCCTGCTGCCCAGTGCTCGGATGGACACAGAACCTCATACACCACATAGATGGAGATTTCTACCCTTGACCCCGGATGCATGGCCAGAGACT